CCCATAGTGACCCTATATAGGGTTTCTGAGGAGTGGCTGGTGAGCTTGAACCACTGACCTTGTGGTTCAAACAACTTTGTAGTCCAGCAAAAGATAGTAAAGTCTCAATGTTATATTTCAGGCACTGTCTGGTTGTTAATAAGCAGAAAGTAGTAAAGTAGCTTTTGGGATTATGTACTGGCAATATTTGATTATGAAATTAATTTGGTCAACATTTGAAACAGATAGTGTTGCATTCCAACCTTCTGCTGGAAGAAATATGACTATAGACAATAATGTGGACACAGAAGATGAGATAGACTGGGACCAAATTCGAGAAGAATCTTTGAAGTGGAAAAAACAGAAGTGGGCAGGTTAGTGCTGCATTTTCACATGGTGGTGGTGGTTTCTTTTAATAGAAGTACTTATCCTTTATAAAACTTTTTAGTTTTAGTAATGAGACCTATATGAAAAATGAAGATAATTAAATTAATGCTATAATAAGTCCGTTGGGCATAATATTTTTATATCTGGACAATAATTTAAGCTATGAATGAAAAATTTAAATATTAAAATAATTTACATCTTGTCTTATTTAAGATTACTCACCTTTATGAAAGGGTAATCAAATATAATTAGACCCAAAGAGGAAATGGAAGGAGAAAAAGTGTTTTAACTATAAGTTGACAAGGACAAAATGAAAAGGGGAAATAATTCAATAATTGAAAAAATATAAGCAAAAGCTAGGTTTTTAAAAGTTATGTTTCATTTTAAATGAAGCTTCTCACTTGGAATATTCCTGATGGGGTATAATGTTTTATAGTAAATTCAGGCACTAATTTAGGCTATCAAAATAAGGCAGCAATATAGTGTCTAAAAATAATGAAAACACTAACACGTGACCAAAGTACTAAAGATAATTATTTCCACTGTTTTATTCACTACCTTCTTTTTTACCCCCAAAGCCTCGATGTTTATTGCCTTTATGCTTCTCTAAATAAAAAAAAACCCATAAAATACAGATAAGTTTATCAATCTTAAAAGTAAACCATTTAGAAAGACCTACAGGAAAAATACAAAGCAATAGAGGCAGACAGAATCTTACTACAAGAACAAACAAGTTGCTTGCCCAGGAAACATCAAGGCAAGTGGTCAGGTCCCCTCAGTGCAAACCCCCTTCCAAGAATAAGGCTCAATGGGAATACACGCTCTGATTGGTAACCACACTCCTCACTGACAAGGGGAAGTGAGGGAAAAACAGCAATGAATGAATATAAAACTAATGTTCTCCCATGTAAACTATCATATAATTCACAATAAAACATTAAAAACAAAACGTAATAGAATGAATGTAAAACTAATGTTCTCCCATGTAAACTATCACATAATTCACAATAAAACAAAAAAAAAAAAAAAAAAAAAAAAAAGTAAACCATTCCACATAAAAATTGTACAGCGAACATTTGGAGACTACATCTGCAACTCAGTGAGCCATTAGGTACCAAAATCTTTACAACAAAAAGAACATCTATATTGTCAATAGAAAATAACCATTAAGTAAAATAAAAAGTTAGAAAAAGAAATCTGAATGACTAAGACACATGAAGAAAGGTTTAACATTGGGAGTAGTCAAAGAAAAACAATTTAAGTTTCTGTTTCATTAGAGAAAGATATTTTACACCTATTAGAAGAGTAAAATATGAAATACTCATAAAACCAAGTAGGGGCAATCACATAGAAGCAAAAAATGAGTAATGGGGTGAAGTAGCACAACCATTTGGAAAACAATATTTGAGCAAAATGGTCAATCCATGTATTCTGTTGTTGTTAGGTGCCATCGAGTCAGTACCGACTCATAGCAACTTTATGCACAGCAGAATGAAAACACTGCCCGATCCTGGGCCAACCTCACGTACTGTTGTTAT